TTTTGACCATCCCGACGAGAGTTCTCCCATTGATGTCACCTCTATTAAGTGGCGACCAGGCGCTTCATACAGTTAGTTTGAATGTATTTTAAAAATGTAATAAAGGAAAATGCAGTGCTATAAGGTTAAGACTTAATGCAACTCCCGTAGTGTGTTTGCGATGTCTATTCTCACTAGGAGACGTCACGCGCAAGCGATCCCTGTGACCTTGGGCCCCCTTGCATTTAAATTCCAGCGCATCTGTGGATCCGCGAAGGAACTCGTTGTGCATATATTTGTCATTTTTATGGTATAAATTGACCTGTTCTCGTGCTGTTTATTGGTCTTTTCGTTAAAACGGACACCAGACACCTATTTTGTCGCCCCACCCACCTCTCTGCAGCGATGGCACACTCTGGCGCCTTAGCTCCCGCTCCTTCCCGCGTCAGGGCTCGCCTCTTCCCATAACTCATCTCTACCTTAGGGCGTTTGCGAGTGGGGGCTCTATTACTATGTGAACTGATGTTTCTGTTAAAGATTATGCCAATTTATGACGAACCTCTATTGAGCGGCAAACCTCCGTTACGCGGCCACATGCCGGTGCTCCTAGGATGGCCTCTTTATAGAGGTTCAACTGTAATTTCAGTCAAGTTACTTAGCTCTTAGGGTATCGATAGCATTCTATCTTGTAGTATTAAAAATGCCAGTTATTTCTTTGTATTATATTTTTCGCCTTCTGCCGTAGAGGTTGATGTAGAATTTTGATTCGTTATCCTTTATTTTCTTTTTGTTGCGCATGGAAATAAACTGAAGTATTTATACTCATTAAATTAGTCCTTAACGTGCACTAAGTATCAAGCGTTCTTCAATAAAACTGAAAGACGGAGCAACTTAGGACTTTCTGAGCGGGTGTGTTAGCGCTGTTGCAGTCAATCATCTTGAGGTTTCCTACCATGAACTAGTTAAACTCACATATTTACTTCTAACGGTATGTAAACCTGATATTGCGAAGTCATATCAGTGACATAGAATGAAAATCGTTTAAGGAAAATGAAGAAAAACAAAGAGATGGTTGATATGATTACTAAACCTCGCTAATCATGGGGTTTAGGACCTGGGACTAAAGTGTGTTCGGAAAATATCATTGATTGGCAATATCTTCTGCTGGGACACCTACAACAGGAGGAAATTGTGTCTCGTGAATTCGTCTTGTGCCTTAAGTAAGTATACTCACGGCCGTCACGTGACATAACACGTGATCAAAAATTAAAAACTTTGTATGGTTAAATAAATTGGCGTTTCTGATGGCGATGTTTGGAATGAACATACGCGAAGATGAAAATTATAGTTTTTTAAGACCAAGTTGTGAAATGACCTTTTCTCTCATAGTTTAATTTTTCATTGAAAAAAAAAATTATAGACAGTCATTCCAAACGAGAAATGTAAGAAATATCTAATATGAAGAGAAAGTAATGTTATTAATTGATTTCTTTTCCAAACGTCAATTATTCAAGGTTCTCTGTAAAAAGACCACGCCACATGTAAGGTGACGAACGTTATACTTCAATATATCCAAAATACACCCAACAAATCGTTTTTCTTATTAAAAACCCTTAGTCCCAGGCCTTAAACTTCTTGATTACCTGTCTCTTTGAATTTCATGTAGCAATACTGTAGGGGTATTGGCTGGCTTTTTCCTGCTTTAATTTCTGATAATATAAGGATATGATAGACAGATTTCTCAAACAGGCCACTTTTAGTTGATTAACAGTTCTGTACTTTAAAACAGGTTTGGGATGATGATCTAGGAAACTTGGCTCAAATGTGGGCCAACAAATGTACCTGGGATCACGGATTTTTAGAGTTTGGAGATGTGTACCCTGATGCTCCTTTTAAAGGACAAGTTGGTATGTGAAAGAATGCATGGTGACATTAGAACTATGCGCTTTTTAAATTATAATGTACTGAGGAGACTAATGCATTGAGGGCCATACGCAGATGTTACAGAACTAATTTTTAGTTCACACGCGACCCAACAAGCATTAGGGGTATTAAGACTTAACGAAAATGGCGTTGATCGTTAGAACCCTCTGTTAAAAATTGGTGTAAGCAAATTTTCCTTGCGGCGTGACCAATCAGAAGCACTTCCCAGATCTGAGTAGTGACACACCATCAGTATGAAATTTCTGCGGTTGTTCTTAAGACTAGCGTCATTTTGCGCTTCAACCTATGTTGGCGTTGCGAAATGTTTGTTTTCTCAGGCTAACTTTTTCTTTCCTTAGGACAAAATCTCGCACGCGAGTGGGGCCGACTTCATATCCCCGCTAACAGGGTAAAACTCTGGTACACGGAGAGCAAGAATTTTTCGTTCAGTAGGGTGTCATCTTCCGATGTCCGTAGCCAGTGTTCAAAGCCTCCATGCAAACGATACACCCAAGTAAGTCCTCCGGCACCAAAAATTGCAAAAGACAAATATAATTTATTATAATTATTACTTCGGCGGAGCACGAAGTAAAGGATTCGCACAGCTCAGGAATTAAATTAAGGTCCCGGAATTAGTTCGAGATACGGTATCTTCGAGCTCTTTGCTTTATTCTTTCAGGCGAAGAAATAATCATGAGGAGGAAATAATTATTACTTTTGAGAAAAATAAAAAAGGAATAATTATTATTTCTGGCTTGCTCAGGGTTTGAACCGGTGAAGGAGTTAAGACGTCTGTAACACAAAAGGAGAAAAGTAAGGGTATTTTTATTGAATGGAATCCGTAAAAATATCATTTCCTACTATTCCTCCTCATTCACAATTAATCCACAACCACGACGCCGAATTTACGTCCCATAGCATCTTGTTGAATGAGGTTTTTGTGATAACGGGAAGAACCAAGGTCGAGGTAATTGTTAAAACTTACCGAGACGTAAGGTACTTTCCGGATTTCACGAAACTGAATCTAATACATAACTGTTTTATTATACAATGTTTTGAAGGACATAGCGACGAACAGTATATCATAGTCTAGTAAGTTATCTGATAGTAGAAATGCGGTATCTAGCTTATCTGTAGAATGCGAGGTTGCTCTGATTCCCAAAATTGACTGTACGCTGTCTTTACCAATGAAAAGGCAGACAGTGAGTACAATGTATAAAATAAGCTTTATTTTGCTTTAATAGCTAAACATTTACTTTAAGACATGTCACGAAGGACATGCCACCGCCCATTGGTAATCGTCTCGTGCCACTTATTTTACAATCAAATCGAGCAACAAGTTATAACACAAACAGCTACAATAACAGCTTGTTAACAAAAAAATGCAGATTAAAATATTATATTGGCAGGTGGAGTAAGGTAAGGATACAATACCTGGAGAGAAAAAAAATAGTTTAAAGTTCTTGCCAAAAACCGTTGCATAATCTAATAAGATTGAGCCAGTTTTGTTCCTAACATAGAGTGTTATCATTACTGTCCGAATAACCAAACGTATTCACTAGCTAATTTTGAGTCGATACCACTGACTTTTACTTGATGATAAGCTTATAATGGAGATGCAAGACACATTGAACTACACTGACGTTTTACACTAAAAATAACAAACAATTCTAAATGCGTGTAACATGTTAAAGGATAAATACAAATACTTTGAAAACATATGTTTGTCTAGAGATTTTCAACCGGTGATTTCTCATAACCCGTTATAACATTTGTTCAATTTCTTTGCTCAGATAACTATATTAAATCCTCAATTCATGAATGAAACCTAATTGGTCCAGGGTTTGCATCGGTCCCCTTCAAATTGTGTGATTCAGATTCATTAC